GTGTATTTTGGAGCTGGACCTTAGGACACGGGCACTGGACATGTCTAGACATAGTGTGATAAAACAACAAAGAAAATAATGATTTAAAGTCCTCCCTGTCCAGGAGATTTTTCTGCTTTCCAAAGTGCAAAGGCATGGTCATTGCTTTCTAAACACTGGCCACTTACGATGGCTGCTAGGAAAGCACATCCAACCCCACATCTGTTGGCTGTTTGAGAAGCCAGCCACCCGGCAGTGCCACACAGAGCCCCTCCGCCTGCAGACCAGGTCCGTGGGCTCCCCGGGGTGCCGGGGCTGTACGGAGGGAAGGGATGGCATCTGCGCTTGGGCCACATTTCCAGGTCACTCTGGATCTGTTCCTGTTATGCAGAGGATTGCAGGCAGGACACTCCGACCTGTATGTTTATTTAACTGTTTGTGCAGATGTTTGCAAACTGCCCTCTTGTGCGTACCACGGCTGACTCTGCCTGTGTTCATGGCTGGATGTTCAGCTGCTCAAATGGCTGTCAGTGTGTTCAGCACGCTACTGGGATGTGCAAAAGCCATGCCTGCCGCTGCACCTATATTAACTGCACAAGGCTTTTATGCACTCACATAGAAACAAGCAAGACCTTATCTGTGCCTTGGCTTTCCTGTGCAAAATGGGGATAATAACACTTGCTCATTTTGCAGAAGGGCTATGCAGTTCAGCTCATGAATATAAAGCAGTTTGAGATCCTCTGATGGAAGGCGCTAGAGATGGACAAAGGGGTACTAATGCCACAAAGCTGACTAAGTCCCAAGCACTGGTCTCACCCAGCTGTACTGTGTTTGCTAATCCAAGTGTGTAATCAGCACATACATAGGCGACATGTTGGTTCAGGCTGTGTAATACAGAGCAACTTCAAAGCAGGCTCTCAACATGAGCTCATGCCGCTGGAGCAGGGCAGTCGGTGCCTGAGCACACTGCTGCAGGACTGGCGTTGTGCAGATGGAAGTGGAAAACTGCCTGGTGGCAGGAGTGTGAGGTGGGTGTATATCTAAACACAGTGCTGGTGTCACTCCCCAAACAGAAAACATCTCAACCTCCCTCCTCCTGCCCCCACCTCTGCCTGCCAGCTCCTCTGAATGAAGTCTCAGCTTTGTTTTACTGATTTCCATTTTGTATCCTAAAATATTCACTCCAAGTTCCGCTTGACAGACGTCCCTAATCTAATCTCCACGTCTGCTTTCTAATTTTTGCAGTCAGGATAAAACAAATCGGCTGGCGTTAATTGCCTGTGCAGCGGCCTGGAGCTTTGAGCCGTGATTTACGAGCTCAGAGCAGGCGCTCTGCAACACATTTTTCTTAATTTATTTTTAATGAGTCTCTCAATTAATTTTCTTGGAAACATCTTAATGATGTTGGAGGCGGGTGTTAATGAGGTTTGCACCAGCGCCTCATTTTGCATATTTTAAAGTACTGAATGGCATCACAAGCAAGCTCCTAGTCCTAAAAAAGAAAAAGGCTTAAAGCTGGGAGGAGACACCATCCTCAGCACTGCTACCTCAGCTTAGATGTTCGGGCTGTATGGGGCTGTTTGTGATGTTCAGTGTTGGGCAGCTGAAGGTGGCCAAACCCACAGAGAAGGGACGACCCCAGCAGCATGGGAGGGCTGAGGGGCAGTGCCGGGGCACAGGCCCATGGCCAGGACACTTCTTAACGGACAGGATCAAAGCCAGGACTCGGCACCTGGGCATGCTGTGGTTTTCCCTCGAGCCCTCTGTGTCAGTGTCCCCCATGACATTCCCCTGCCGAGCCCCTGGGGCAGGAGCACCCCAGGGCGCAGGGCTGGGCTGTGCGGAGCAGCAGCCGTGGGGCACTGCGGGGCATCCACGCCAGCTTGCAGGGTCTCTGGTAATTGCCGGTGCGTGTGCCGGCGAGAGGCAGCAGCTGGATCGCCTTTGTTTTCTCACAGCACGTCAGTCTTCATTAAACCAGAGAGGAATGAAAATGGATTCACTTTTGTCCCAGCCAGAACGTGGCAGCTGTTTAATTTCAATTAACGTGGCACTGAAAAGAATAACATTACGGCAGTAATTAAAGTGAGACGGCTCCCACCCCCAGCGCCGCCTGGTGCGAGGTGCCGGCTCACCCAACAGGGTCCAGCTTGGCCCCACACTCCCCCAGCAGCAGGCGAGCAAGAGCAGGCAAATGTGGGTCAGGTCTGTGGGGCTGCCCCCCAGGCTTGCCAGGACAGAGCTGGAACAGGGCTGTGCCCTTGCCCCGCTACGCCTGCCTGCAGCAGCCAGCCGCAGGGCAGCAGGACCTGCGGCACGACCTCTGGAGGTGAGGGCAGCGTGGCACAGCGTGGCACAGCACAGCACATGGCACGGCAGCGTGGACCATCACCATGCGTGCGTGCAGCAGCTGGCTCACAGCAGGCACAGGCTGGCAGCACAGCCAGGGCTGCTGCTGGCAGTAGCCAGGGAGGAGATGGCAGAGGACCAACGTGGAGGCTGCAGGTGGGCCGTGGTGCCACAGGCAGCAGATCTGGGTGTACATGGCTGCAGGACATCAGTGCCGTGCCAAGCTGCGCTGCCATGTGCCAGGCAGAGCTGTGCTGCAGTGGGCAGAGCGGCATGGGCTCCTCCAGGCTCCGCTGCCACCACGGGGCTGGTTCTGGCCTGCGGTGCCTTGAGCAGGCTGCAGCCAGGGGAGGGCAGCCCACGCTAATTAAAGCAGCAATAGCGCAGTGATGGAGCGCCAAGGAAAAACATACGCGTAGGTTCTGTGCTCTGGCTGCCACTGCCTGAGCAAGATTAAAATCTGCCAGGGGATTCTGTTCCCTTGCACTGGCAGAAACTAGGGCTGAATTCAGCCGCACTGCACGCAGCTGGCAGCACTGGGGGTTAAGTGGCCCTGCTCACGCCACCATCGGTTCTGCTCCCACTCCCACCGCCTGTGGCTCCAACCCTGCGGAGCAGGTCGTCATGGCAACCGACGATTCCTCTTATGGTACATCTGAGTTCACCTTCTGGGCCCAGCTTGGCCTTGGAAATTTCCAGCTAAAACACTTATTCGTGAAACAGCGCTGAGCATCAGCAACGGGGGGGTGGTCACAGGGAGCCCCGTGGCACAGGCAGCCAAGGCCAGTGGCAAGTTTGTTCCCCAGGCATCGCCTCACAGCTGCCCCGGGGCACCTGGCAGGAAGGGTCGGCCCAGCCGCTCACCCACTCTCAGCCCTTTGTCAGGGGACTTCCCACCCCCTTGCCCCCACTGCAGCCCTCGACTGATCAGTCCCACAATATTTGATGTGCTCGGGCACCACAGGCCCGTTTCACCAGCCCTTGATTTCACTCCCACCCACACCAGCACCCACAATTTGCCTCTGTGGACTGCTTTTCATACACCTGCGTAGCCACACACTTACCCACCCTGCACTAGCACTGCCCCTCTTGCTGCCCGGGTACTGTCAATATGCGGTCCTTCAGCGGCTTGATGAATTAATACCCATGCATCCCACTGCCACGGGGGGGACATGTGGGCACTCCGTTTGGGACAGGTCTCCTGCACCCAGGAAACTGGCCAGAGGTCGCTGCGTGTCCAGAGCCGACACCGACTCCTGCTGCCAGCATCGGTCCCCCCTGGTGACAGCCACCCACCTCTCCCCAGCAGGCTGGCATTAAACGCGTGCCCATGGGTTTGGTTTACTGTTGGCTCCCCCAGCAGCGGCTGGGCTCGAAGCCAGGCTCAGTTCCATCCCCGAGCAGCCACTGGGGTGTGCTCAGCCTCCCTCAGGGCCGTGGGCTGTGTCCCCACTGCGGCATGCCGCTGTGGTGGGCTCACCGGCCCCAGACCATTCGTGCTGTGCAGAGCAGAGGGGCCCCCACCGTGGCCACCTGCCCCCATCGCGGCCACCGTGCTGCCAGGGCTGCCCAGGGCCCGATGTGCTCAGTTACTGCAGCACACGCAGGCAGAGAGCTCGGTGGTGCTTTTTTTTCCAACTATTGATCTGGTGCTTTGAGAGGGGAAAAAAAAATCTCCTTGGCTGTCTAAACACTATTGATCTGTGCCGGGAAGCCGCACGGACAGGGAAGGGCGTGGAGAAATTGAAATTTCATTTCCGACAACTTGTTCCTGTTATTTTTACCCTTCTGGACTGCGAGAAACACAGAGCAGCAGCCTCGGTCGATACCTCCTCCAGCAGCTGGATGCGGCTCTGCGAGGCAGCTCAGGGAGTCGCAGACAGGCCCAGCAGGCCAGGGATAGCTGCCCCAGGGGCACGGCACCAAGCTCGGTGCTGCTGCTGGCCCTCTGGCCATGGGCTGCAGCGTTCCTTGGGGCCAACGATGGGTCTGGAGCATGGCACAAGGGCGGCACACAGACAAGAGGGTGCAAGAAAACGTGAGGCTGGTGAGGACAGCACAAGGGTGCTGCAAGGCTCAGCACATGTGCCAGTACTGAGCACACGAGCACCAGGAGTTCCCTGAAGGACACCTGAGCAGAGTCCGGGGTCACCAGGTTCTGGTTCCAGGCATTGTCCCAAGAACCGGGCCAGGGCTGTGCCAGGGCAGCGCATGATGACGTGCCAGGGACGCAGCACAGCTGAGGGGGAGCATGGCACGCAAAGGCTGCGGTGAGGGCTGCGGGCACTGGGGGGGGGGGGGCTGCTCCCCAGAGAGGGACCTGCTGTTGCCAGAGGGAGGCCAGGGGCCCTCACATAGCTCCAGGCCATCGGCAGTGCCGTGCTTTCACAGGAGCCCCCTGCTCAGCATCTCCCGCTGGCACCAGGCGCTCCTGAGATGGGGAGCACCAATGCCAGGCAGCGATGGCAGGGCTGCATGGGCAGGGCTGGGTGGTGTCCCTGGCTGCCCCTCCCCAGGGCCGTGGGTTGTTCAGAGCCAGGGGGAAAGGCCCAGCCCCTGTTCTGGCCTTCCAGCAGCGAGAGTGACCAAAACATGGCACATCCAGGGAGGTTCCTGCACCCCTGGGACAGCCTGAGAGGCCCTGGGGAGGGCTGCCAGGAGCAGAGGCGGCGATGGCAGAGCTGAGCAGCTCCACCCGGCAGCGTCAGCAGGAGATGGAGCGCTGCCAGGCCCAGGTGAGTGGTGCAGGGCCCTGTGCCCACCCCAGGCACGAGGTGCACGGCACAGGCTGGTGGCTGGGCAGTGCAGGAGGCCCTGGCCAGCCCCTGCCAGCACAAAGCGCATCCACAGGGGCTGGGGGCAGCACAAGGGCTTGGGGCGGGCATCCAGGCCTGCTGCAGCTGCTCCAGTCCTGGTGCCTCCATTTCCCACAGCAGCCACACGTCGCAGCGGCATCACTGCAGCAATGGTAGGATGCTCAGGTGTCTGAGAGCCCCTTGGGGGCTGCCTGAACACACACAGGTTGTTGCTTGGGAGGGGAGGAGGTCTGCACCCACCAGTCATTAATACAGTTCCTTGCTGCTCTCTAACCACAACCTGGGCCACCCGTACAGTCATTCAAACCCAGTGCCTGGCAGGAGCTGCAGAAAGAGCTGGCTACTAGGTACCAGCCACAGCAGTGAGACAGACAGCTGCTGCTTGTGCTGTGTCCTAGGGCCAGAGGCAAGCAGAGGTGCCAGAGCCCCGGCAAGGAGAGCCCCAGGCATGCCAGGACACAGAGCAGCAGGAGCTGGAGCCAGCACACGTGCTGGCCTCCTTACAGGCGCTGCAGCTGGACCTGGACTTCTGCAGGGGCAGGAACTGCAAGCGGTTGGTCCAGCTACAGCAGCAAGAGTGCGTGGTGGAGCAGAAACACCAGGACTTGGTCTTTCTGATGCAGCACTACCAGGAGGTGATAGGCAAGGTACCACCGCTGGGTGCAGCGGCCGTGGGCCAGGCTGTCCTCAGCCACATGTTCCCTGCAGCCAGCTCCATGCAGCTGAGGCACCATCCCTGCCCGACAGCCCTGCCTGTGCGAACGGGCAGTGATCAGCCCACCCAGCCCCAAAACAAGGCAGGCATTGTTACTGCAACCCAGTGGAGCAGAGCTGGGGGCCTGCAGTCCATCATGGTCCCCCTGACACCCTTCCAGTGGTGGCTCCAGCCATCCTAGCGTTGGTGGCACCTTGCAGCCCACAGCTTGTGAGACATGGAGCTGGGCTCACTGCCCTCCTCACAGGCCCACACCCTGGGGCTGCTGGGTGTCCATCAGTCACCACTTGCAGCAGGAAGGGCAGCAGGGGGCTGTATGAGTGACCTGAGGGCCGGGAGTCTGCAGCCGTTCTGCCCCACTTCTGGGTCCGGCCACATCCCTCTACCAAAGGTGTTCCAGGAGCCCATTGCTCGCAGGCTGCCCCAAACCAGCTGCCTCTGCAGCCCCAGCCCCTCTACAGGCAGAGCACAGGTGGCCTGCGGGAGTCCTACACCTGGCCACACACCGATGCTGCACCTCTCCGCAGGGCCAGAAGGATGAGGCCGTGCAGACAGAGGTCACCTACGCAGGCTCCCATGACAACGCTGACACCAGCCGTGGGCTTCCCAAAGGGCACGCGGAGCTGCTGGAGCAGGTCTGTGCTGGTGGCCCAGCACCCGCAGCACCAGCACCTGGGGCTGGCTGGGAGCTGGCAGACAGCAGCAGGCTGTGCTGCTCCTGCAGGTGGTGCTGGAGGCAGAGGCAAAGCACTGCAGGCAGAAGCGGACCGCTGAGACGCTCCAATGCCGGGCACAGGACACGCTGCGGGCTGAGCACAGCGCTGCCAAGGAAGGTGGGGTGAGGGAGGAGAGGGACACCCAGGGCCACGGGGCTGGGACGTGCGAGGGCTGCAGCCTGTGGCCTGTACCCCAGGGCTGCCTGCTCTGGCTACCTCTATCAGGCAGCCCAGGGCTTGCCAGTGGTGGCAGAGAGCAGCGAGGGGACTCCAGGTACCCAAAAGGGTCAGCCAACGTGCCGCTGGAGGATGAGGCGGCACAGCAGGAAGACAGGAGGCAGCAGGCAGTGCAGGCCTCCCCAGCAGTACCTGCACCTCCACAGCCTACAGCGGCACGTAGTCCCTCCTGGGACAATGGCAGGGAAAGGCTGAGAGCCTGTGGGCACGAGGCTCCCTGTGCACTTGGAACATCGCTGGCTGCAGGGTTACAGGGCAACTCTGGAACGGTGAAGAAGCAGCGCCCATAGCACAACAGGGTCTCCAAGTTGGGGGGAAGCAGCCCAGGGGGGCACAGGAACCCTGTGGAGAGCAAATGTCCCAGAGCCACACTGCAGGGCTGTGTGCTCTGCTCTGCTTCCACTGGAAGCTCAGGGAGGGGCCCAGGGTGGCAATGCCAGCCTGCCCCTGTCCCGGGCAGCCCAGAATCAGCAGCAGCGTGCAGAGGAGCAGTCCTGCCCGAGCCCAGGGAAGGGCACGCAGCGTGAGGCCGGCCGCCGGGCAGAGGATGAGCTGCGGGCACTGCAGGAGCAAGCAGCCAGCAGCGAGGCAGAGCTGGCGCAGAGCAGGTACGCAGGGTTCATGGCTGGCTGCCCCCAGCACAGCCCCAGCCCTGCCCCTGCCCTTTCCCTGGGGCTGCCAAATCTGGGGCTGGGCCCTTGCCTGCAGGGCACTGGCAGCGTGGCTTCAGACAGAGCTGAGCCAGTGGCAGTGGAAACAGCAGGTGACCCTTGAGCAGGCAACGCAACACATGCATGCCACGGCCCGTGCCAAAGAGAAGCTGCAGAGGAGCCAGGAGCAGCTCCACGCCCTAAGGGAGCAGGTAGGCAGCAGGCAAAACCTGCAACAGTGTCCCTGGATCAGCCTGGCCCCACAGACAACCCAGTACATGTCCAGTGCCAGGCACAAGCTGCCACGCTGTAGGAACTGGAGGAAGAGCTTTGATGTCAGCAGGAGGGGAAAGAAAAGCTCCACCAAGAGCTGCACCAGGCAAAGGACTGGACAAGCAGCCTTCTAGAAAGAGAATAAATAGAGCCCTGCAATGCAGCCTGTGCAGCAGTGAGGGGTCAGCAAGGGGAGGGAAGGCACAGCACACAGCACCCACTAATGCTGTGCCTTTGCTGCAGCTGAGGGTGCAGGAGGATCAAAGCCAGGGCCTGCAGCGCAGCCTGGCTCAGCTGCAGGAAGAGCTGGGAGCCACCCGGGCCCGGGAGCAGCAAGGCCTGCAGCAGCTTAGCGGGGCCAAGGAGACCATCCAAGACCTACAGCAGGAGGTAGCCTCCAGCAGAAAGCACGAGGCAGAGCTGCTGCGACAGGTAAGGGCACAAAAAGCACAGCCCTAGACACAGCCAGCCACCAGGCAGCGCTGCAAAGGGACAGAGCTGCAGAGAGCACTTCCCTGCTCCTGCGCAGGACTAGCCCCAGGGAGGAGCCCAAGCTTGGCCAGCCACGCTCCCAGCCCCACCACTTCGCCTGCAGGTGCAGGATGTGGCAACCCTACAGGCAGAGCTGGCCCAAGCCCAGCAGAAGAAAGCCAAGCAGGAGGAAAAGATTGCAGCCTATAAGGAACAGATGCAGCAGCTCCACTTGGAACTGAGGAAGCTCCAGGAGGCCCAGGAGCAGAGCAAGCAGCAGGTAAGCATGCCCTAAGCCTTCCACCTGGCACCTGCGCTCATCCTGCATGTCTCCCACTGCCCCCTCTGCCTCCCACAGGCCCACTCCCTCCAGCAGAGGCTGCAGGAGCTGAGCAGCCAAGCCCAGCACTGGCAGCAGTTGCACCAGGACAGTCAGCAAGCTCTGGCTCTGCGGGAAGAGGAGCTGGTTGTTTACAAGGTGGAGATGGCTTTCCTCAAGGAAGAGCTCAGCAAGGCCATGGAGCAGCTGCAGGACAGGACCGCGCAGCACCACAGCTCGAGGACAGCAGGAGTGCAGGCTGAGCCCCTGACACCAGAGAACAGACCCTGGCCCACAGGCACGGCAGAGGTGGAGAGGACGTGCCAGGGGATGGCTCACTGCAGAGCCCAGGCCAACGCGGGAGGAAGCTGTGGCTCTGTAAGCAGCAGCAGGGCTGAACATCATGTTCTTAAGTAGCCGTCTGTTGGGTTGCTAGAAATGAGCCCCCAGCATGAAACTAACACCTCACCACAGTCTGTAGCCAGTAGTGCTGGAGCAATGTTGTTTCTCTGATCCTGACAGCTCTCCCAAAACACAGGCAACTACTCCAGACCTGTGGCTCAGCCCCGAAGGCTGCTGCCCCAGCACAGCCTTGTTCCTGCACCTTCCTTCTGCCCTAGGCACATACAGGCTGAGCACAGCAGTCATGTGGGGTCACCCACAGCACAGGGTGTTGTTTTTTTCAGGTAGTAACCCTGCGCACTTCCCACACGCTGGGATGGTCTAACAGCAGCAGGCCGCACCAGGAGAGGGAGCTGCTGCTGGTCAACATCAGCCAGCGTGCGAAAGAGCAGATGTGAGTAAGAAGCCCTAGCCAAGCAGAGAGGGGCAAGTACCTGTCTTCTCACACCAACTCACTCAACTTACACCTCATTTTCAGGCAGTCAAGTGAGAAACGAGGGCAGAAGACCCAGCAGCAAATCAACCACGCTGCAGAGCTGACAGGCAACAAGGAGTAAGTGATGAACACAGGGACTGGGTCTGAGCAGTTCACGCTGCCCACAGGGGTTTATAAGACAAATGAACAACTACTGCCTCACCTCATCTCCCCTGCTTTTCTGTCTTCCAGGCATCTTCAGGACACATTGGGCAGCTTGCAGGTAGAAAACAAGTACCTCAGGGTCAGAACACATGAGCAGCACCACAAGGGTGAGCAGATGAAGGTGAGCAGAATTCCTGGCCCAAAACAGTGCTGAACCAACCCTCCCTTGTGTGCAGGGACAGCTGGGCACCAGTTACTTACCCAGAGCTCTGGTCACAGACAAACTGCCTTTGCAGTATTCCAGGCCAGGTCTGTGCCAGGCACAGGCTGTCTTTGCCCTCTAAGCCAGTGTAATTCTGTGCCTTGTCCCCGGCTGTACAGGGCAGCAACTTGACTACAGGAGCCACGCACAACTCTGCAGGGCTGCCTCTACCCAGAACTCAGCTCCAGGATGAGAAGTGACGCAAAACAAACAAAAAAAAAAAAGGTTAAAGACTGACAACCTTTAAACAAATAAAATTCTTTCTGTTCTGTAGCAAAAGTAGTGCCAAGCACCAAAACCTTCCAGGGCTACAAGCTGTAGCAAGCCTCACAGCAGTCAGATAAGCTGAGCACTCCCCTAAGACTCAGCTGCTCTTGAAAATCTTTAAGCCTCGTGGCAATGGGCATTCTTTTCTCAGAGGCCAAAGCGGGCTGGGGTGCGTCGTGGTGTCAGGGGCTCCCCCTGCTCCTTCCGCCCAGGTGTGTAGATTTTAGTAGATCTGCCAGTAAAGGACAAGAGTGATTAGTGGAGAATACAATTATTAGTGGAGAATACAATTTTTCCCTGCACCAGGAGCACCTGTGAAGAAGTTGGAATCCTCCATGCAGCTCACTACTGCTCTTAAGCAGGCAACTGATGGCCAGCTAGTGCCAGCACCCACCTTGCGCTGCCCAGCGGGTTACGGCGCTCCTGCTCCTCCCGGCGGGCACGCAACTGCTCCTCAGCCAGAGCCATCTCTTCCTCCATGGCAGACACTTCCTCCTTGGCACGGCGGCGGTTTTCCTGGGGCAAAGCAGCAGCAGATCAGGGACTGGCAGGACTCTCTGCAGGCCCGCAAGTCTGATCCCTCCACATTAAAAAACAAAAACAAACAGAAAAACAGACCCCCACCCAGGAACAGGTATGCTGTATGCCGTGGAGCTGTGTATAGCAGGGACCCCACTCAGGCAACACTCCTTTCCAGTGTAGTAGCCTGCTGTCTGTCTGTCAGCTGGGCCTGAGCAGGAGACTCACCTGGCGCGACTTGCCAGCATGTTTGATACTGTAGAACATGGGTCCCAGCTCTGCCAGCCACTCTCCATCCACAGCAGTGACACACTGCATGTATTCCTGCAGTGAAAGAAGGAAAGACCAGGGTAGCAGGACGACACGCAGCGTCTGGACGCCATTGCCAGAGCCACGGCAGCTCCCACCCTCCTCCACTTGCTGACGGCAGTTCCAAAGCAAGGACTTTACTCCTTCCAGACAATTCCTCCAGGCCTCAGAAGCTGCTATGGGCAGGACTTGGTGAGACTACAAAGATGTCCCACATATGCCAGGAAAATGTATCACAAAAGAGAAAAACAAGGCCCTACAGGCGACAGAGACGTGTGTGGGCAGTAGAAATGTGAAAGGCCGAGAACTACACCCTCCAATAGATCCTACCATCACAGCAAAGCCCTCTCACCTTCCTCAAAGCACTCTCTACCCTTCCTGCTAGCCCTCATCTCAAGTTTACCTTGGTGGTCATGACCAGCTCATGATACACAATGTAGTCTGGTGTGTAGCCCATGCCAAACAGAGAGCTTGTGGGATGCAGGTGACAGGGCATGCCTGTGCGGATGTTCACGTACTCCCCAATGCCCTGCACAAAGAAGTGTGGTTAATACATCAATTCCCAGCAGGGGCCTCTCATCCCCCAGACAGGTACAGGCTCCTCTTACCTTCAGCTTTGCAGCTTGATGGAAATACGCAGCACAGATGCACTTCCTGACAACATCCCAGTCAGTACCACAGGATGCTAGGCTCATCCGCTGCTGCACCATAATGTCCTTGAGCTGGGCACGCACCTCCCGCACCTGCAAAGACGTGCAGCAGTCAGATCCCTCTCTTATGTGAGGCTCCCTCCCCCAGCCTCTTTGCCACAGCCTCACCTTCCTCATGGCCTTGGCATGAATGAAGTGCTGGTTGCACCACAGAGTAGAGTAGTTGTTGTTTTTCCACTGCAGATAAACATTCAGGTAAGTCAAGTGATCGCTCTCTGGGACAGCAAACTTCTCCCGCACTTGGTCACTCTCTTCCTCTCGACCCTGAAGAGTACGCAAAGAACACAGGTTAGCCAGAGCGCAGGTAAAGGCCCTAAGCTGCTGGAAGAGCAAACAGGTACCTTAGGCCGATAGAAGATGGCAGGCACAGACAACATGGAGACAATGAGCAGGATCTCAGAGCTGCAGCCCATGTCACAGGAAACAATGAGCATTTTGGAGAGTGCAGGGTCCAGTGGGAACTCCACCATGAGACGTCCTGTTGATGTCAGACCACCTGCAGGAATACCGTAAGGATCCATAGAGCAACTGGACAGGTCCTCAAAGTCCCATGGGTTGGCAGCCTGCCCCAGCAGCCAGTACCTGTGTTATCCAGGGCTCCCAGGATCCACAGCTGGTACATGGAGTTCAGCATGTTGTCCTCAGGTGGTGGATCCATGAAGTGGAACTGCAGCAGGTCCTGCACACCCAGGGACTTGAGCAAAAGCACTACATTGGCAAGGTTGGTGCGCTGGATCTCGGGCACTGTGGTTGTTAGCAGCTCATTCTTGTAGGCGCTCTGGGTGTAGAGCCTGGGGAGCAGATGCCAAGAGCATGTCCCTCCCCTTCAGGCCACTGCATCCCTCTCTGAATGAGCAGCAGTTCCCAACCCAGCCAGGCCCTGCACGAGGCAGCAGCTCTGCACTCAGCCAGGCCAACGAGCAGAGCCCCAGGGAAGAAGCTCTCCCAAGGCCACAGTGCAGCCTCCCCAGCACACAAGTGCCTGGAGTGCAGCACGAGGTACACCCTCCTCGTGTACAGTCTTTCCCTGGTCGCAGACCAGTCTTAAAGCAAAGCCTTGAGATGGCTGCCTTTAGCTTGGCTATCGTCCTGAGAACATCAAAGCAGCTGGCTCAGCAATGGGGAACAGCCACAGGTAAAGATCAGTGATGTGCCTACCTGAAGCAGTGACCTGGGCCCGTTCTGCCAGCTCGGCCTGCCCTCTGATTGGCATTGGCTTGACTGATGGGATAGATCTGCAGCGCATCCATGCCTATACGGGGATTGAAAACCTGCAGGGCACAAGAAAAACAGACTGAAGCAAGGGGAAGGCTGGGTCACTGGCAAAGAACTCCATCAACCCAACCCCAGAGATGACAGACATGAACAGTCCAGGAAACCTTTGCATACCTTCAACTTGCAGTAGCCAGAATCAATCACAAACATGATGCCATCCACTGTCAGTGAAGTCTCTGCAATGTTAGTAGCAACAATGCACTTCCTCACCCCATCTGGAGCCTGCAAGAACACCACGCATCAGTCAGTTTGTTGGGCAACGGCTTCTACACCACTGAGGAAGAACCCAGAACCCAGACAGGAGTGACTAAGTGACTGGAAGTTGAAGGGGGCACATGCTTTCCCTCACCCTCTATGTGCAATACAAAAGGCATCTCTGCACCTCTTGCTCATGCCAACTAGAGTCTTCCCTACACTAATCTCCCATCTGCCCAGTTCCATCAGAGAGTATGCATCAGCACCTTCTGGAAGATCTTGGCCTGTAAGTCTGAGGGCAGCTGAGAATAGATGGGCAGTACAGCAAGAGCAGGCGCCTTCTCCAGTTCCTCGAGGTGCTCCACAATTTGCTCTGAGGTTACCTAGACACAAAGAGGAGTATTAACATAAGATTGAAACAAAAAATGGGTGGGACAGTGCCTGCCCTTCCATCCAGCTCACCTCAATGTCCTCCTGGCCAGGCATGAAGACAAGGATATCACCAGGAGCACCAGACAAATGGACCTGCAGGGCTTGTTTCACAGCAGCCTCCACATAATCCTCTTGTGGGGTCTGAAAGACACAGCCCGAATTACAGACACCAATAATCTCACCTGCCCCATCCTGTGTGTAAGGCTGCATCACAGCATGGGTACCCCACTGCTTTCCTCTCTGTCCACTGCAGAGTGAGGTACACCCAAGCCATAACCCCCCTCACACTTCAAACTCTCTCACATTGACCTTACCTTGCTGAAAAGAATATCAACAGGAAAAGTGCGCCCAGGAATGTGGAAAATGGGAACGTTCCCGAAGAAGGAGGCAAACTTATCTGCATCCATGGTGGCAGAGGTGACAACAAGCTTCAGGTCCGAGCGTCGTGCTACCACCTAGAAAATATATGAAAGGAAGAATAGACAAGTGGCATTTGTGCATGGGTCCAGGCTACTTCCACCACTACTGAGACAACAGGACAGGATGGAGCTTCCACCATACTCTAGAGGCACTGACCACTAATGCCAGGGAAGGCATATGCTATATAGCCCGTCCAGTTATAAAGATAGTCTGACACCAGCCAAAAAAGCCTTATACCTGCAAGCATCTCTGTACCTAGAGCTTCTTAGTTAGCCAGCAAGCCTCTGGCAACACACTAAGGCAGATTTAAACCCTCAGAACCAAGGATCAGGATGTTTGAGCAGCAAGTGCAGTCAGAGATGTGGGAGCCTCTTCATTTCCCTTTCCCAGGCCTGGGAGAGAAGCACCGCCTCTGCCAATATTCTGCCCAAAGACCAGTTCACGCGCCCTATGCCACTGTCTTAGAATCTTCCCGTAGCCCAACTTGCACACACCTCCCGTAACAGGCCAAAGAGCACATCAGTGTTGAGTGAGCGCTCATGCGCCTCATCCATGATGATAGCACTGTAGTTGTCCAGGTCAGCCTCTCGCAGTGACTCACGAAGGAGGATCCCATCTGTCATGTATTTGATTATCGTGTTCTCTGACGTGCAGTCCTCAAAGCGGATGGCATAGCCCACCTGGGAGGGCAGAGATATCAGCAAGTCTTCACCAGCCCTGTGCACTCACTGCCAACAGGCTGCACCCTCGCACGTGCTGCCAGACTCACCTCCTCTCCCAGACGCACTCCCATCTCTTCGCTGACCCGCTTGGCAACAGACATGGCTGCCACTCTGCGGGGCTGGGTGCAGCCAATCATGCCGTAGTCTGTGTAGCCGTCCTCATGGAGGTACTGCGTCAGCTGAGTTGTCTTCCCACTACCCGTCTCCCCTACCACAATCACAATGCTGTTGTCCCTGAAGAAAGAGAAAGAGCATTTCTTCGTACACCACAAAGAAAGACTTTTTCGTTTGCAGCTCTGGTTGGCCACCCAAGAGTTGTCCTGCTTTAGCAGGAGAACTGCCATCAACCAGACAAAGCAATTTTTTAAATTTTTTTTTTCTCTGAGGGTACAACTTCAAACAGGCCCTC